CGAAAATTTGTAACTAACCTATTGTCCAAAAACTAATACACACTAGTCCCACTAGAACCAAAGGATTATTAAAATAAAATTGGTAATGTGTTTGGCCACTAATACATGTAGCTCAGATTGTGTCATCACAACAACAATTGCACACAAAGGACACAATTACACCGAGCTCTTTTTCCAGTGGAGTGTGATGGACAAAATTAAAACAAGTACAAATGCTCAGATATTGATACTTCCAATGTGTTATTAGTACATATTATTGCGCCTAATAAGAAAATGTGAAGATGCATTGCTTCGATAAACGCCATTCACCCATGTCATCTACAGTTTTTTACGTAAATGAAATTTTTTAAATATCTGATTCTTATGTCTTATTATTATCTTCCTTTACGTTGAGTAAATGTTTTTTTTTTTTAATTTGTCAAATAATAATTAAAATATTTTTAAGAAAATTTATCATTTGTTTTCATAATTATTTTGACCTTTCTTAAGAAACAAGTGATTAAAACACTCTCACATCCATGCAAATGATCAAAAATTGAAAGATAAATCTTGACCTTTAATACCTCTGCAACGACTGATCCATGGTACAATGAATACAAGGTAGGCTAACTTTGAAAAAAATGCAAGTATGGAGGTCTATCTGTTTGGCTTGTAATGTCAGAATTACTATCAAAACAATAAAAAAGCAAACAACTTGTTGCATTTATTTGAATAAATAATTGAAAACCGCGAAGACTGAATGAAAAGTCAAATATCTTTTCAAAATCATGTTCTATATATATCTCTTATGGTTTATTTCGCGACAAAAACTGTAGATTTGTGGATGCATACGCAATAAGCATTTTGAAAACACCCAAATTTGAATATTTTCTGTACTATTTTTTTTATTATTGAAAAGAATACACACACATAACAAATTAAGTCGACATATTAAGCCAGAAAAATAAAAAAATTTAAATCATATGGTAGTTCTGCCCTACCTTGAATTTATTGTACCATGGACTGATCCTAATTTGAGAACTTTAATTGTTTAACGTGTCAAATATGTGTCGTCTATACATGGTACCAAGGTAGAATTACAAGGTAGCCCTATGAGGCCAGCTGTAGGCGACATGATATGTCAAACGAATTGGTGTAATATGAATTCGCCCTACAGATACATTAATGAAAACAATCCTAAACAATTATTAAAATTGAAAAATTTGGAAGAAGTTAAAAGCAAACCAAATATGAGGTGTTGTGTGGTTTGTAAACGAACGCATATTGGAGGACAAACAAAGACCAATCCTTCCTTTAGTTCATTCATATGTCTATTCACCAATTCTAATCCCTCAAAGTGAAAATAATTCACCCAGATAATAGCCTATGTTCTTTTATATCTTCATCAGATCATATTTGAACATTAGATCTGGTACCTATTCTACAAAGGGTCGAAATATTGAATAACATTATTCTCATAAAATGTGATATTATTCCCCTTTTCTCTTCAAAGTATCAATATAGATTTAGTGGTAAGTTTGAATTATTTAATTTTATGATACGTCCTTCAAATAAAGTAAACACAAAGAAATGGTCAAATTCTGAGGATATAAATCTGTCGAAACTCCGGCTGAACTTTTTTACCTAAAAACAGATTTGTGATAAAGTGCAAATACAATACAAATAAAATATAATCGAGAAGGAGTAGTATTTCATGTGGCCAAGCAAGGAGGAAGGATTGAAATAGAGTACGATGTGTGGAATCAATTTGAATCCCTACTCCAAAATCTGTTGTCATAATTTTAACCCGAAATATTTGATTGGAAAACGACCCAGAGTACTTACCATTTCATAGCTTCTAAACTGGAGGAGAATAGTTTTGAAACTGCGCAAAAATTAATTCTTTTTAAAGACTTTGTTCCCTGTTCCAATTTTTTCATAATTTAAAAGGGGAACGTATCATCTTTACACTCATACAAACCAATATGGGATAGAAATAACCAGTGTAATATTCGGCACGGAATGTTTATTGATAGACGAATCCTTTAAGACCTTGAGATTAGAAATTGGTCTCATTTCACAAATAATAATTTTTAGGTCTAAAATAAATAAAAAAAATCCACTATATGAGATGCGCAAATATGCTTTCTTCAAAAATCCATAATTTGAGAGCGTTATATTTTCTTTAAAAATCGAGGATTTGATGTGTTGAAGGAATATAGATTTTTTATAAATCCACGGAAAAGTCCATTATTTGGAGCAGCAGCTTCTGTAAATTATCCTCATTTTTAGAGGTTGTTCCGTGGATTCTTGCCTTATTTCGAGTCTTCGACTGTTTGTTTGCTTTTACACAAAATTTGCTTTTACGCATTTTTGACGAAAATTGAGGCATTGCATTCATTTTTCGCGCTTTAACAATGAGGAAAAATATAAAAATTAAAAAAAAAAAAAAATGAAAGCAACTCGTTGCATATAATTGCATATAATGACAGGAAGCGGGCATAGCCTCAGGACTGTATTGATGTTGTTTACGAAGCTGTTCTACCTTCTTATTGTACCATGTGTCTATCTATTAAGAAATTACAGAATTTTGAAAAAAAGTACTATGAACCCACAACTCAGATTTACAAAATCGCATGTTTGGTGTGCAATGCGTTTTCCCCACAACTCAGATTTACAAAATCGCATGTTTTGTGTGCAATGCGTTTTCCCCAATTTTGGACTTACAACCTGTTTTTACTACATATCACGAATGAAATAACATTTGGATTTTTTGTAGGTAACACCGTGTTACGGAATTCACCAAAATTATATACATTTCTACAAATGCCTACATTTTATAGGACCCTACATTTGATTTTATTTGTTTTTTTAGCAAATTTTCTTCTATTTCAAAAAAGTGAAGAATTGTTTGTACAAATTCTGTAACCTCAAAATAGTTATCATATTATTAGTGGGGAACTGGATTTGTTTCGTAGAGAGTGTAATGTTTCGGATTGAGATGCAAAACTCATTAATCTCCACAGTGTTTTACCAGGACAAGAGTCTGTTTATAAATCCCAAATCGTAGCTTAGATCAATGATGACTAACAAAAAAAAAAAAAAAAAACAGATCACAAGCACTGAAGATTTCATGCGTCGAGCCGTTTGATAATGGATCATTTTTTTTGTTTTCAATATTTAGAATTCGAATCAAATCGGCAAGGACAACTGGCAAGTTTCTTCGAAACACATATTACGATAAATTAAGTTAAAACCTTTTTGTGTTTTTTTTTTCGTTCGAGACAAACGTAGGGATCTGAAATTTGCAATGAAAAGTAATGCCAGAGAGACTCTGCAATGCATTTTGCCGTGGTGTGAATGGTGGCTGTTTCTTGGAAGGTAGTATTTGTTATTTATTGAGTATTACTGAGAAGTTATTCCATAAAGCATATGCGAGCTAAACATCATAACAGCCCAAGTTCGACTCAAATGCTGCTAGCAAATCTTTTTCAGAGAAAATCTTGTTTTGAGACGGCAACATCTGCAAACCTAGGTCTGTCGTTCAAATCCCAGTCGGTCTCAGCCTTAATAATTTATTTTTCCAGAAATCATTGCAAATGGAAGCTCTCTGGCTTCCTTTTTACAGAACAATTCAGGTAATGACACTCATCCCGAAGAGAACTAAATTAATAAAATCATAAAACGTAATCTCCACCCTATCCGGCTCAATTTCAAACAGTTTAAAATTACTTTGACACATTGACAATGATGTTACTATAGTAAAATGTTACATTGCATCCGAAATTATTTGGCACATGTTTATTAAAAAATAATAAAACATATATTTTTGTTAGGTATGCGGTATGTTCAATTCCTACCGCCTTCTAATGTAAATTTCATAACTAAATACCCCAAGAAATATACGATTACATACAAATGAAATGACCAATTTTCTAACATTCTATTGTGCGTCAGAAGTTAATTTTATTTCAATAAAAAACGACGCCTGATTTTTTTTTTTTTGTTTTTCATTTGTTATTTTTCTTCTGATAACACGTTCTATATTAAAGCTTCCGCCTGCTTGATTTCACAATAGGGCCGACCAATTTCCTTTTGTTTAGTTGTCATACTTTGCCGATAAAGCTCGATATAGAACAACAATGTGCCTGAAAGATAGCACGGTGCCGTTTTGTAATTAAAACGCAATTTAAATTACTGATTATATTAAAAAATAGAAAATACGCACACACACACTGAAGTGCTATTTATCAGTGGCAAAATGATATATGTATAATAGTTTCGCGTTAATAACGGTGATGTCGATCATCGAAACAGGAAACAAAAACATTAACCAATTTGATAGGCAACATCTGATGAATGTTTGTAGCGACATCTCCACTTTATTTTTGTTCGTCATATACTAAAAACGAAATTTCACATACAAAACATAGAATATCGTTGAAATCGAAAAATAATTAAAGTTAAGTTTTTAAATCTATGCCACAGAACTGTTTATTGTTTCACAGAATGACATTTATTTTGTTATCTGCGCTTCTCGGTTTATTTGCAGACGAATTCGAAAGTATGCCTTTGTTGTCATTACCGATTTGATATACATGTATTTGGAATTCTGACTATCTCTTGAAAGAAAGCTTGTCGAACGTTTATTTGGAATAATTTATTGAATTATAATAAATATACATATTTATTCTTCTGACTCTCCTAACTAACTTCCTCCGTTCCGTTATAGAAAAAATATTAATATATATCTTATATTACATACATATTTTATTTCATATTCAAATATATACATATTACTGTTTGTAATCGTAATGTAGAGAAGAGAATTCATGTATGTCATACGAAGATATTGTTCCGCTAAAAGAAACAACAAGGTTGTAGGTATCAGGAAATCCGAAATCCAAGAACAAATTTCAATTTAAGAGACTGCACAATTCCTTTATTTAAGCTAGCAAATGCAATTATGTGTTTAACTGCCACTTGAGTAATGCTTTGAATGACATTTTGAATTCGTTTAGGAAATCACGTATCGGAGATGGAACTTCGGATCCAGAATCCGATTGGTAAGTCAACAAAATACAAAAACAAAAAAATAAAACCTACTAAAAGAAAAGCTTAACTAATGGGTTGTCTAATCGGCATGTACGCTTTGTTAAACAAACAAAAACCAATTTAAATAAGAAAAAACAAAATCAACAAATCCAATTAAATAAAGCACACATTCGTAATAACCATTTTTTGAGAAGTAATTTTGTTTTTTTTTTTTCGCATACCTATTTATATATATATATATGAATAAAAGTTTAGAATTGCTAATTTGATGCCAGTTGTCCGATTGACATACATACCTCCGTATACAATACTTTTTTGAAATTTTAGTGCTCCTTCTTCTTTTATTAGTGGTACAGCAAAAGTTAACATGACCACGACAACAACCGAATGAATGAATAGCTCTGTCGTTGGCAAATTGCTTCTTGTTTCCGTTTCCGTTTCCGTTCTGTTCATTTTTTTTTCACATAACATTCTTTATTACGTTTCTCATACATACTTATTTTTCATAAACGAAGTTTGTTGGAATTTTGACATAGCCATAAGTGATACGCTGCAGTTGCGTTCTTGTAAATACGTTGCGTTAAATTGAACTGTTAAATGTCCAACCTTTGTAATGGAGAGAGTTCACGGACTGGTATCCGCACCATAGTCAAGTCTTGTCTTAGCGACGTTGAAAACTCCATGCCAAAACCGTATGTAGGAAATATAGAAGTAAAATGTATGATAAATCTAAGGCGGAAACAATTGAGTTGTAGTTTAAGCTAATATGAATAGATTGGAATGAATTTCCTCTTTTAAGTTTTCCAAAATTATTGTTCGAACTAAAACTACTAACCCTGTGTTAAGTAACTTTTTTCACAGTTATTTTTTATCAATAATATTTTTGCTTTTGTTTTCTGTTTTTGCTGTTGGTTTTTGAAACTCAATGTTGCTATTCTTTTTTTAGAAATCGATGTGAAGTGGATTTGCATGTGACATGTGTGAGATGACACAGACAGACAAACAAACATACAATATTTGTTGTATGGGTAGTAAATGTTGTTTACGTTTCCGTTCCGTTCCGTTTACGTTTCGATTTGCCTTTACGTTTATGTTTCGTTTTCATACTCCACATCCATTCTCGTCCGTAACCGTATGCCCCCAACGGGGTGCAACTGTATGTGTAGATAAGTGCATCATAGTCTCAACCACTCTCCACTCCATCTAAATGTTGATAAAACTCGCTCGCTCGCTCGTTCGTTCCGTATCTGTGTCATCCAAAAGTTTTGTAAGTAGTCCATGTTATTGTAACGTAAGTAGACATCTAAAGTGTTTTTTTCCGTTTTTATTTCTCCTTCCCACTGTTATTTCGTTAGAAATTTTTACCATTTTGTGCTTTAAATGTGTATTTATTATTGGCCTTCGGAAACATTGTGTGGCCTTATTAGTGATTGACAAATTGATATTTAACATAGTACTCTTACAACAACAGGACACGTTCAAATCAACGATGGATGAAGCTTCGAACAACAGTTCAAATATCATCTGCAATGCAGAAAAAGCCACCGCTGAAAAGGGAAGACTCATTTCTCAAACGATTCTCCACACGACAAATACCTGAAGCTCAGGTAAGTTTAATAACAATTAAAAGCTTTGTGAATTATTATTTGGGCAATTGTTATTCTTTATTTTACGTTATTATTGGTCTTGTTGGTCAGATGGTTTAAAATTGAAAAATAAAACATAAAAGTAAATACTCGACGTTGGGCATGGCCGATCCTACCCTACAATACTGTAATTTACGGAAGCAATGTGTTAATTTGCAATTTAAAAGTAGATGTTGTGATAGAACTGAGAGCTAATGTTTTCAAAAACCATACGACCTCTAAAAGATACAAATACACATCACCTTACTGGCTCCAGAGCAAATATCACAAATTACCCATCCGAAACTGTTTTTTTTTCAAACATTGCATTTCATTCTTCTAATAATGTCACATGGCGATACAAAAGGGTTACCTCGGCTTTTGTATTTCCCCTATATTTACCCTCTGTCGTGTTAATGGGAATTCAAAATAATAGTCGAAAATTTCGATTCCGGTTTATATTTACATATATCATCAATGTAAAGGTCAGAAGTTCCGTTTTCAGGCATCTAAATGTAATTTAGCTGGGAAGTGACTTTCAGCATTAAAAATATTTGCGGTTTAATGGAAATTTCGGTATTCCTCGCACTCAAGTTAGGATCCATCTCAACCGCTTAATATTATTCCATGACTATCCAAAATTGTGGGTTTCTTTCCCGTTCTAAAATCTTATTTTTTCTTGAAATTACGCGCCGATAGGTTCTATTTTGAATCCAATTTTAAATCCATTTCGTCAGCATCAGACTATAACTACGACCTTAGCTAGGCGAAATGGGAAGATCGATATACCTAAAGTCACAATTTGACCAATACGCAATTCCCAACATTTTTTGTTCTGTCCAAGGACGAATTCGTTTGATTATATATACTCTTCCCATTTAACAGGTTATGAAACATTTTGTATCATGCTAAACATTTGAACCTATCAATTGTTTACCGATTTGGTATTTTAAGTATAAATTAAATCAAAGGCATATTTGAGTCATATATAAAATGAATTTTCCAATACTTATTCCATAGACAATATAAAGTATAGACGAAGAAAACTTGAAACAGAATTATTCGAAGACGATTTTAGGGAAAACGTTCCACTTGCATAATATTTATTTAACCAGTAAAGAAAGTCTTAAAGTCGGGAGGGTCCGACTTTATGATACCCTACACCACATTGCTAATTTAGTAGAACTCTGCATAAAAATTAAAAGTTTCTTGGGCGAATTCAATTATACACGCTATGATTATAATTATAAGTTAAAGTTCAAAGGTCTAAATATGCCGAAGCATTTGTATCTTTAAATTCGGACTTTGAAATCGGATAAAGATATATATGGGAGCTATATCCAAATCTGAACCGATCTCCATAAAATTTCGCAGAGATATTTCTGAGCTGTTTTTGATATATTGAATATCGTTGTTACGGAGTGCATATTACGGCTGTGGGTAACAAATATAACAAATCGGATGAACAGTATATATGGGAGCTATATATAAATTTTGACCGATTATCTCCAATTTCAATAGGGTTCGTCCTTGGGCCAAACAAATGATTTGTGCTAAATTTCATTTGGATAGGGCAATAATTGCGATTTCCAATTGTGATTTCCAATTAATGCTAATCCGCCTATTTGTTAATAGAGTGCCATATCTAATGTAATTCCGTTGCACAAAAAGTAATTCAATCTCAGAGACAATTATTTGAAGAGAGGTTACATGAAGAGAGGTATCGTTGCTTAATTTCTATGCAATATTGAACATGGCTTGAAGTATTTATTTAATTTATATTATTTTGTTGATTTATGTCGAACTCCAAATAAAAAAGCTATAACTTTTTGATTTCAATGCATATCAACACGAAGAATTTGATAGAAAGATAAAGGGAACTTTGTATATAAAATAAAAATTTGCTAGCTCTAAAAACGCATTTTATAGTTATGTCATTATTTGAGTAATTGATAATGTATAGTTGTTTATTAAATTGTTTAAAAATTGACTTTATCAGCACTCGAAAATAAGCAGCGCTGTCGGCAAACTCAATTTGAACGTTTCTACGTCGATATCTTTATTCTTATTCCTTAAAAAATTACACGAAATTAAAATGGAACCATATAGAGGACTATGCATTTGTTTATTAAATTAGTTAAGATCTCACTTAAAATATTGTTAACCAAAAAAAAATCATTTGCACTTTGTATGTTTGTTTTTACTCATTTTTGAGTCAACATCCAGTTTCCTATAATCGCACTTAAATTTGCGAGCCACTGTGGCAGCATTAATAATGTGTGGATGATCCTTTGTTGTGGATTATTTCAAAAACACGGTCCGGCATTGATTCCACTATTTTTTTAAGGAGATCCGAATAATTTTTTCCCAGACTTGTTTAATTCTTACATCTAGCTCTGTTACTGTTATTATGCCGACATTTTGGGCATTATTTGCGTAAACTTTACGGACATTGTATCCCCACAAGTCCGGATCATTAAGTTCATTAAACCAACATTTCGATTGTTTAGAAACATGGATTCACACATTTTCCATCCATAAATCATCTTTCAACAGTTCGTTATAAATTGTACTGTTCTTTTTGTAGGAGTGAAAGAGATATTTGATTTGCCCACACCATAACGCTGCCGTCACCGAAATTACGTTTCGAACATCGTTTGACCTGAAGTCGTGCCAATAGGATGAGTATGAGTCAGGACCGTCTAGATTAAATTTCTTTTCGTCAGAGAAAATTACTTTTTTCCCCTTTTTTACATTTTCTTGCAAATTTAAGACGATCCACTTATGATGCTTTCTTATACCCTTATATAAGTTTAGACCTAACAAACAGTGTAAAATTCTAAGACGATTTAGCCCTCTCAGTTCGTCCGTCTGTCCGTCTGTCCGTCTGTCCGTCTATTGTAATCACACTAGAGGCAAAACGAATAAAGATAGGAAGCTAAAATGTTGTACCAATCTGCTTTTGTCTGCTGGCAGGTCAAGTACGAAGATTGGCTATATCGGTCCACCATATCGTATAGCCCTCATATAACGATATTCGGTATTTTGATGCTTTTTAATAATTGTTTGAATTCTATACAAGAAGTTCTTCGTGACTACTTCGAAGAAGTTCTTCGTGACTTAAGTTCGTAATGGGTACTACAGCCTAAGATAAAAAATACTTATGCAGCAATACGTCTTCGTATAGCATCCACATAAAAGTTTTTATGGATAATATTCAGCTTTTTAAAAACAAATTTCCCATCTGCTTTTATAGGAATCTTCTTCTTAAAATATCACCAAAAAGTGAACAAGAATAATAAAAAACAAATGTTTACTTTCAAAAAGCACCGTTAAGCATTTTTATAGCATACTTGTGGTAAGATTATGATTCGATATAGCTATGGAAATCAGAATTTTGAACATATGACCTCAGTAGGCAGGGCCCTGTTAGTCCACGGTTTCTCATAGTCTCCATGTAACGGTATCTCACGATATTTGGTATTTTGACGATTTAAGCCACAGAGTATTAAAAGTTCGTCCCGTTTTGTCTTGTTATTGTTGCATTTCTCGAGGATGATAATTGTTACGTCCGACGACAGAAAATATCGCCTAGAAAAAGATACACAGCGAATAATTAATCTGGATCATATTCAAGAAGTGAAACCAAACATCCTGGAACGAACGTGCAAAATCTTAAGGTCATGAGAACGAGGTTCATCCCATAAACAATATACTTGGAAAATATTTGTTTCTAAGAAAATTCGAATATAACACATTTAGATCTCCGAGCAGTAAGTCATTTTGCACGCGTTTAATGGTCAGGTTCTAATTTATTGCCGAAGCCCGTCTCCTCCATAAATCTCTTTACGGATATATAGACCACAGGATTTTTGGCACTTGCAGCATGTTTTATACCCTCCCCAAACTATGGCGAATATGTTAACTTTGTCGTTTCATTTGTAACCTTTTCATGCAAACATTTTTGAGGCTACAAATATTTAATATAATACCCACAATAACATTATCTCCCGATATTCGGTATTTCAGAGTTGGACGCGATATTAGATATATCTGCGTGAGTATCACACAACGATAAGGTCCACATTTCGATATGTTTAATATTGTGATCACCATACCGATTTGAGTGACTTTCCAATCAACTATTTAAAGTCTCATTTGAATTTCCCAACCGAACTCACCCAGAGGAACATTTTTCGCATTTTGACAATAACCCCAGATTGACATTGTAGAAATTCAACAACAAATGATTCCACAATAATATAACTGTTCATATAATAGAGGTTTCATAATATTTGCCCCAATTTTTCGTTTATCTTATTAAATACTGCTAATTAGATTCGTTCATTTAACTACTCAAAATGCGTAATTTGTTCCTTATTTCGTGGATTATATTTTCAAACAAATCTTCATGTATCGTACTAACTTTTCTGCTACACCAGTTCGGTAAGAATATATTCATATTCAGTTTTTTCCTTAAATGGATTTCAGCTCCATTCGTTCACCCAATACTTAACTTGGCACTATTGAGTACTTTTCGTACAATTGTAGTACACATTTCCAAAACCACGTCCATATCTCGATTCTAGATACCAACAGTAACCTCAATATCAAATTTTAAGATTCCAGCCATTCCATTTAGTAGTTTTGAGAGAAGTTGGTGAATTTAGGAATGCGTACTATGATTGTTCGAAAAGTACTACGGGTACTTTGGTATTGAGTGTATAGATATAGATTATGTAATGTATAGAGCTGGATTCTCGAAATATGACAATGAGGTCTCTTTTGGTATCTGGTGTTGAGATATGGGGGAAATTTTGGAACTGTGTACTATAATTGTCCAAAAAATACTAAATGGTAATAATATTGGAAATCGGTTGTTTGAAGTTAGGATTAGAATATTTTAACAAAAAGAAAAAAATATGCACTTTAAGTACTAAAAATGCCTAACACGAACTCTTCTCTTAATTTTATGGTGGACTTTTCGCTGACGAAGCAGCGGGCTCTTGCTAGTAAAAGCAGTATTTTTTAATTGGGTCTGTGGTGTAATTCTCTAACAAAGTTAATTATCTAGTACAGCAATTTTCCAATTTTCCACAAATTAACAAAATTGTTTGGCAAATTACCGACGAAAATAATATCTCATGAGAAACAGAAATATCAAATGCAGATCAGCATAGTTGTTGATGGCTTCACAATGCCAAAATATGCCAAATATTCAGGATGTTTCAATGTCCGACCATGTAGGCTGTACTGGATTTTTTTTATCTCTTAGCCTTACGACTTCAGAAGGTATATATAAATTGATTCGCCCAACATGTGTCCCATAAAAACAATGGTTTCAGTTCATTTTAGTCGACGTAACCATGTGCTCCGTCCCTCTTTCTGATCTGTTTGGTAAGCACCATGGCTCAATAAGAAAGGTTGCTCAACTTAAAAGAAAACTAGAAAAATGCAACTCTGTACTGGAGTCTTATTATGTCAAATAGACTTTTAAAACATGCAACAATTGGGTTTGTCTATCAATATTTTTTTTCACAAAAATAATATAATGCGGAAACCTACAAAACTTGATTGGAATATTGGTATCTCTCAACAAAATTGAATCCAAGATAGTAGGACAAGATTGTTTTATCTCAAAACTAGACATTTTTTACTCGTTAACGTGAAAAATATGAATTTATATTGTCCCTAAATTTGAACAAATTTCAAATTATTTTTCTTTTTATTCAAAACAATACACACACATATACAAACTGTGTATGTGTTTTGACAGAATAGGGGGTGCTCAAAGAAAGAAAAATTATTTAGGGGTTAACTTTGTTCTACCTTCTGTAATTATACCATGATAAACACGATAACTCTTAAAAAGCGTATCCGATTTAGTCAAATTTATACGTCCAGCCATTTCTACCAAAATTACATCGTGTTTACCGTACTCCCTGTTTCAAGGGGTTTTGAATAAGCCCAATAACTCTTTTTTTTTGCTTTTTTATACCCTCCATACTATGATGGAGGCCATTCCGTTTGTAACACCTCGAAATATACATTTGAGACCCCACAAAGTATATATATTCTTGATCAGCACAAAATTCTATGTCGATTTAGCAATGTCTGTCCGTCTATCCGCCGGTGGAAATCACTCTAGCTTCCGAACGAAATGAAGTAGGTTGATGAAATTTTACTCAAATGTGTATTATGTCTGCAGGACTTTTGGTATTGAAAATGCTGTAAGTTCGGCTAAAAAAGCTGTAAGTTCGGCCGGGCCAAACTCTGAATACCCTCCACCATTTGGTATAAATTTAACAATTTTCAAAAAAATAAAATCCGTTAAAAATTCTGTTAATATCTTTAAAATACCTAATGTAGCCGTATATTAGAGTCTATACGACGACGTGGACCTGCATAGACAACTTTTCTCACAAGCTATTACAATGCGAAACTTGAAAAAAAACCAGTAAAAAAGTCCTAAAGTCGGGCGGAGCTCCACGTAACAATTAAAAGTTTTTATGGGAGAATTCAATCATACAGGCCATGATTATAATTATAATTATAATTTAAAGTTCAAAGGACTAAATATGCCGAAGCATTTGTATCTTTTAAATGACGGACGGATGAGCAATATATATGGGAGCTATATCTATATCTGTACCGATCTTCACCAAATTTGACATACTAGCTTCTAGACTGAATTCGGTAGTATGTGCCAAACTCCATCCCATTTGGGTATATTTTAGACGTTGGGTGCAAAATAAAAGGTAAATCGGACGAAGTTATATATGGGAGCTATAACCAAATCTGAACCGATCTCGTTAAAATTTAGCAAAGGTATTTCTGAGCTGCATTTGATATATTTCCCCAAATATTGTTGTAACAGAATGCATATTACGGCCGCGGAGGACAAAAATAACAAATCGGATGAACAATATATATATCTGAACCGATTTCGATCAACTTTGGCATACTTATTTTCAGGCCTAACTTGGTTGTATGTGCAAAATTCCATAGTATTCGGGCCGATATTACACGTTTGGTGCACAATAAAAGGCAAATCGGACGAAGATATATATGGGAGCTATATCTAAATTTTTACCGATTATCTCCAATTTTAATAGGGTTCGTCCTTGAGCCAAACAAATGTTGTTTGGAAAATTTCATCTCAATCGGATAATAAATGGGACCTGCATTTTGTCCACAAGAATACATAGACAGACGGACGGACGGACAGACGTACTGACATGAATAAATCAACTTAGAAAGTGATTCTATGGAGATTCTCAAAAGTAACTAAGGGTCTATCTCGTTTCCTTTTTCATGTTACAAACAAATCCACAAAGACATAATACCCTTACCACTATGTGGTGTAGGGTATAGAAATCTGTTTATAATGCAGCTAAAATCATCAAAATACCGAATATAGGGACGTAGCATAGTGGTTACAAAACGTGGATCTGCACAGACAATTTTCTGTCATAGGCTGTAGTATTCATTACGAACTTCAAATACAAAATTTGAAACACTTTCGGTAAATAATGTCGCTAAAATCATCAAAATACCGAATATCGGGAGGTACCGTTATATGGGGGCTATACGAAGACCTGTACTTGCACAGACAATTTTATGTCGTAGGCTGTAGTATTCATTACGAACTTCAAATACCAAATTTGAAATAGTTCCGGCAAATAATGTCGCTAAAATCATCAAAATACCGAATATCGGGGGGTACAGTTACATGGGGGTTATACGAAGACGTGAACCTACATGGCCCATTTTCTGTTTTATGCTGTAGTATCTATTACAAACTTCAAATACTAAATTTGAAACAATTCCGGTAAAAAATGTCGCTGGAATCATCAAAATACCGCATATTGGGAGGTACCGTTATATTGGGGCTATACGAAGACGTATAGATCCGCCCATTTTCAATACTAAAAGTCCTGCAGATATTGTACACATTTGAGTAAAATTTTATCAACTTACTTCATTTTGTTCGGAAGCTAGAATGATTTCCACAGACGGACGGACATTGATAAATCGACATAGAATTTTATGCTGATCAAGAATATATATACTTCGTTGGGTCTGATATAAGTATTTCGAGGAGTTACAAACGGAATGACAAACTTAATATACCCTCCATACTATGGTGGAGGGTATAATAACACATATTATGTGCAAAGGTTAGAATATAAAGGTGCACTGCATCAAAATAAACCACTTCAATTTTCTTGCAAAGAAAACACCTTCCAATATTTTCAAATTAAAGCTAACGTTTTTATTTTGAATTTATAATTATTTTTGAAACATAACTGACATAACTGTTATGCGTATACATAAAATGTCGGTCAAAATCATTTTGACAATGAGATGTTGTCAAATGGATAATTATGAAAGAATTAGAAGCATATAATTGCATGACTTTACATTCTTAATACTTCCATGTTGTGACTTCAACACCCAACTTTAAATCTGTCAGTACAGTTACATGGTCGACCTATATTGTCCATTTCAATACCAAAAGTCCTACTGACCTAGCTGAATTGCCAGACCTGAATAGATTTTTTATCCTACTTCATTTCGTTCGGAAGCTGGAGTGATTTCCCCAGACGGACAGAGCGGCGGATGTCGCTAAATCGACATCAAGAATATTTATACTTTGTGGGGTCTAAATTCATATTTCGAGGTGTTACAAACGCAATGTCAAACTTAATATATCCTCCATACTACGGTGGAGGATATAAAAATGAAATTAGAACACAAAACGTCATATCGCGTTTGACATTATGGAGTCAGATAAGCTGGGTTTCGCTGCTAACTGGTGATAATTGAGCCACACTACAAACCCATCTGTTATGTATGTAGCGTAGAGGGTACTTGTAATTTTACGGATACTTTTCAGAATTATCCATATTTATTAGACAATCTTATTAATAATATCATTATTATTATTATTATTATTATTATTATTATTATTATTATTATTATTATTATTATTATTATTATTATTATTATTATTATTATTATTATTATTATCATTATTTGACTATGCCCAACCATGTTCGTGCAGAGATGTGGTTTTAAATTATTAACTTAATCCATGATAATTTATTTTTATTCTTACGCAGGAAACCGTAGAAGACACAGGGTCCGAAAGTGCCTCTGGAGACGTTGATAAAACTGTGAAAAGGCGAAGACGTTACCTTCAAAAGCGACGTTCCGTTGTTAATCCCGATGAAAATTTCCATTTCTACTGGTTAATGGTGTTGACAATTTGTGTTTTGTACAATTTATGGACGCTTATTGTTCGTCAAAGTTTCCCCGAGCTGCAGGTATGTTTAAAGCTCCGTACAATGCCTGCTGTGTTTTGGTGACAAGTTTTCTCATTTAACAGCAAGCGGTTCCGACATTTTGGTTTTTATGTGATAGCGTAACAGATGTGGTATTTGTTATTGACATTATCGTCCAGTTGAGAACTGGATATTTGGAACAAGGTCTCATGGTATGTATTGCGGTTGTCTGTTGGCCCCAAATCGAGGTTTCTCGAGTCATAATACAATTCGATCGTTTGTATCCAGGTTTACGATGACAAGAAATTGGCTAGCCATTATATACATTCTAGAAATTTTGTATTGGACATGATCTCGCTGGTTCCGTTTGATCTGCTGCAGCTGCGAATGGGTCCTCAGCCATTGTTACGTTTTACTCGCTTCTTTAAGGTACATTAACATTTTTGTCCGGTTCTTCTTTATTGGAAATACATTGAGACGGGTATCTCTACTCACAGGTTTATAGATCTGTTCGTTTTTACTATATTGTTGAAAGTAGAACTGTTTGGCCAAATTTATGGCGTGTTGTTAACCTAATTCATATCCTGTTGATACTGGCCCATTGGTTCGGTTGTTTCTATTATTTATTATCCGAAGCAGAAGGCTTCCAGGTAAGTGCAACACACATTTATTGCTGTCTCCCAACATTCTTATATGAAGTGAATATTTGTTTCAGGGTGACTGGGTTTACCCATACCGTCCGGGAGATTATGCTACATTGACTCGAAAATATTTGGGAAGTTTGTATTGGTCAACTCTTACCTTGACCACAATTGGTGATTTGCCAACACCGGAGACAAATGCAGAGTAAGTCTCATAATCATGTTTGAAATAAATGAAAAAGTGTGTACAATCGTAAGCGCGGATTTGAATCCCAGTTTTGTACCATGTTTAGAACTTAGAAGGACAGCCTTCTCTGTTGGCGAACTGTAAACTTTTGCCTTATGTTATGCAAATCAAATTCAGATAGAATCAAACTGAGAACATGACTTGTTGGGCTTGTACACGGATTTCATGTATAGGTACATCGATGTAAATCGAGTTAACATCTGGGAGCTGGGAGATTCATATCAACATGTGACATTCGCCGGCAGTAGATGTGGTTGACCTTCTAGCTTTACATTGATTTACATTGGGTTATTGTGTTACTCCTTAGCGACAAGCACACTAAAACTATAACTAATTACATACATACATATTTTGTATTCAATATTTCGTACTCAAATCAAGACCAAATTTTTCGGTGGACGGCCCAAGATCGATCCCGAGGCGCGGAATCAAATCCAGATTACTTCAGTTTGGTTCAAGCTATGGGTATGCATATAACTTTACGTATAACTAAGAAACCTCTCTGGAATAAATATCGGCAAAAAAAAAGTTGAGGGCTGTCCGCCAGTCGTAAGAAATTTAACGAACAAGCCAAGCCTAGTGTTGTAATTTGCATTAATCTTTTTATTTCTTCTTGATAAGAATAAATAGAATCAAAGTTTTCGAAAATCTCGGACAGCCTTCAACTGTTGATTGTGATATTCATTTCAAGGAGTACATAGTTCCTTCATAACCATCTTTGTATGTGAAGTCATCCTTGTTTTCGAAAACTTTGATGAATCCTATTTAGGAGTGTGACTAGGTAAACGATTAATCCTAAAATTATGGTTCAATTTCAGATATGTCTTCACCATAGTGAGTTATTTAATTGGTGTTTTTATCTTTGCCACCATTGTCGGCCAAGTTGGCAATGTGATTACCAACCGAAACGCAAATCGCCTCGAATTTGAAAGGCTGCTGGATGGAGCAAAAACCTACATGAGACACCATAAGGTATGGTAACTTTTAGCACCCAGTTGACTAGATTTAGTATAGATACGATTGTTAACATCTTACAGGTGCCTGGTGGTATGAAGCGGCGAGTTCTTCGTTGGTACGACTACAGTTGGTCCAGAGGTCGCATCCAAGGTGGTGGCGACATAAATACAGCCCTTGGCCTTTTACCAGATAAACTGAAGACGGAATTGGCATTGCACGTAAATTTGAGTGTTTTAAAAAAAGTCACCATTTTTCAAGAATGCCAACCAGAATTCCTGCACGACCTGGTGCTAAAAATGAAGGCGTATATCTTCACTCCTGGAGATTCAATATGTCGCAAAGGCGAAGTGGCTAGAGAAATGTTCATAATAGCAGACGGCATCTTGGAAGTGTTGAGCGAAACGGGCAAAGTGTTGACAACCATGAAGGCGGGTGATTTTTTCGGCGAAATCGGAATATTAAACTTAGATGGCCTTAACAAGTAGGACAATGGCAAAGGAAATACATTCTTAAATACTCAAATTGATCTTTATACAAATTCTAGACGAACTGCAGATGTTCGATCGGTAGGGTATTCCGAGCTTTTTTCCCTATCCCGTGAAGATGTATTGGCGGCTATGAAAGACTACCCAGAGGCTCAAGAAATACTTCAAACGCTGGGAAGAAAACGTCTAATGGAAGTCAGATGTGTTAATAAGAAACACGCCAAAGCCAAGGCGGACAAGGATGCAGCCAATCACCAAGGACATCACCACAGCCATAGCCACCATGTTAATCACAGTGATAGTAGCGAAAATAGTGCCTCAAAGAAGATTGTCGATAAATTGAGACATGATGTCAAAGGATTCCGAAGTGTACTTAAAAAAACCAGGTAATTCAAACATCTATTAGATATGGGAATTGTTGTGGCGTGGCTGATACAAAAGTTAAGCGTTTTTTTTTTTTGACCCAACACCACAGATCCTAACGAAATTTGGCATGAGGCCAGGTTAGGATCACAATAGAAGTCTATATTTTAAGCCTTTTAAGCAAGGTGAAACATTGCAGTAGGTCAGATCTTTAGGCAGATGATGATCGGATAAAGGTTTTGCGGGCAAACTGAATTATAATTTTGTGTGAGAATTATCAAAATTCCGATACAATTGTGAATACCTTATTACTTGAATAATGATATATCCAAACATATACAAGGGACTGGATTTTAATATGGTACCGAGCAAGTGCCAGATACAACTCTCGCATCACAATATAAAAATATTTGAAGACTCAAATTCAGGTTGCTGCAAGATATAGGATTCACATCGCTAGGACTATTCGAAAGGAGGAACGTAATAATATCAATTCCCAACCTTTAAATGCAAGAACAAGTCCTATTATTGATCTCAGTATCTCAAAGCGTTATTTCATGCTAAGCAAAAGGGTTTTAGATCTTGAGAAAGTCTTGTGTAGGGGTTCACATTGTCGGCCCCGCTCAGCTTCAGCCTTTGCACTTGTCTTACATTACCTAATAAAAAATCATAGAATTATAATCCTGAGATAGTAATATGATCAACGTATACATTTTGTTTTGGCAAACGTCTAAGAACATCACGAAGAAGTGATGAGTCATTGGAAATGCAGCCGCTACACAACACATCCCCTAAAAATGGAAAAACCATGCTGAAACGTATGTCCCGAGTGCGATCCGATGAAAAGGAAGAGTCGGCGGATGTGAAGGCCGAATTGCACGATAAAACTCCCAGTCCCATTGGGGCCGGGTTGCCGCTGTTGCAAAGACTGCGTTTACTCAAAGAGAAACAGGTATGTATGCGTCCCGCCTGTGTGTTTGTAAAATCTGTATTTCTTTTTTTCTTCTTCTTCATTATATATATATATATATATTTTTTTTTTGTTTTTGGTTTGCAACCCCACATTCAGTTGCTGGTAATCATTATTTTCATTACTTGTATGTATGACGTCAGCATTTGACACAATAACTAATGATGATGGCGTTGATGCAAAATCACACTTTTGAAATGTGCTTATCCATCGAATAATGCACAACTCAATATGCGTATGCACCAGAAAAACGATCCGAAAATCAAAGTCAATCATCAATATTCATATCCGATATTCATGTGTTGTTTTAGATTCCGATAGAGACTATATGGAATAGAACGCGTTTGAAATCTAATAGATATCAAAATCTAGGCGCTCATCTGATTAGGATGGAACTTTGTTCTACGTAACTGAACTGATCACTAGGGTATGCCTCGCCATATCGTCAAATTCAATTCTTTGGTAATAGTTGAGCCAAACACAGTTATTGAAATAAAGTCAGAGGCGGCTTTCGCTGTGAATATTTTGGTCAGAGTACTAGAAATATTGCAAAGGAATTCTAGGAATCGAGCTTTGATATTTTGCATAACACTAAATGACGGTTCCTTTTAATATATGAAATAAAACAATGCAGCTCAGTCGACAATATATAAAAAATCAAATACTAGGGGCTGAGCGAATTTCGATTTCGATCTCATTTTGTACCGCACGATATCACACATTAGAGAATGCACTGCACTTTGGCTTCACGTTATTTTTCCTTAAATCACGTTTCAGTTCGACCAGAATTCTGCACACATTTCTAAATTAATATCTTTGGCACCCAGTCTTACCTTAAATTTCAAAAAAAAAAAACTAATCAGGTAATAAGAACTACACTGGCTTCTGTTGCACTGTTCAGCTATAAAACTATAAACAAATAAATCTCATCTTAAACTATATCTTTTTATATTCCTTTGACCACAAGGTATTATGTCCTTGTGCATTTGTTTGTAACAGGTAAAAAGAAACGTGATAGACCCATCGATCCTTTTGATGACCTGCATAGAATCACATTCTGAGTCGATTTATGCATGCCCCTCAGATTTATGCATGCCCGTCTTTAAACTGTAGGTATCTTGCCCTCAACCAGGGTCTACATTGTTTACGGCCTAGCTATTAAAGCTATATAAATATCGAGCATAGCTTTTTGAAAAAACTGCATCCATGAAGACGGAAAAACTTAAAGAAAATAACAGCCAAAATAAAAAACAGTAAAGAGAGGTGAAGAGTCGGACGGGCCGACTATGTGTATTTAGTAGAGCTACCGTAACAGAAAAAATTATATTGGGAATTTATGTGAAGTAATCATACCAACTTTTACCCAAATAACATTTCTAAATAGTGCATGATATGACTTCGATAAGGATTATATTAAAAAATATTTATAGGAGCAATGGATATACCGAGTTTAATCGAATGGTAAAATTCGGTTGAATATGAAATGATGAAATGATATATATGGGAGCTATATTCAAATCTGAGCCGACCTCGATAAAATTTGACAAAGTTATTTCTGAGCTGTATATATATATATATATATATATATATATATATATATATATATATATATATATATATATATATATATATATAGCCGACCTCGATAAAATTTGACAAAGTTATTTCTGAGCTGTATATATATATATATATATATATATATCGTTACTACATCGTTATATCGTTACTACGGAGTCCATATTGCGGCTATGCAGGATAAATTCAACAAATCGAATGAACAATATGTATGGGAGCTATAGCTATGTCTGAACCGATTTCCACCAAATTTGACATTCTGGTTTCTAGACTCAATTTGGTCGTAAGTACCGAATTCCATTCCATTTGGGCTAATATTACACGTTTGGTGCACCATAAAAGGCAAATCGGACGAAGATATATATGGGAGCTATATCCAAATATTGACCGATCTGGATAAAATTTAGCAAGGGTATTTCTGAGTTATATTTGATATATTTCCCCAAATATCGTTGTTACTGACGTGCAAAATTCCATATTATTTGTGCTGATACTACAAGTTTGGTGCACAATATTAGGCAAATTGGACGAAAATATATATGGGAGTTATACCTAAATTTTGACCGATTATCTCCAATTTCAATAAGGTTCGTACTTGGGTCAAACAAATTATTTGTACAAAATTTCATCTGAATCGGGCAATAAATGCGACCTGTACTTGGTTTACAAAAATACATGCACAGACAGACAGACGGACGGGCATGCATAAATCGACTCAGAATGTGATTCTATGCAGATCATCAAAAGGATTTTTCTCGTTTCCTTTTGCTGTTGCAAACAAATGCACAAAGACATAATACCCTCACCACCTTGTGGTGCAGGGTATAAAAATCTATTCAGTTTTGGCTTATATTACATACAGGGTGAGCAATAACCGTAAAATCGGATGATCTAGATAAAATATGGCAGAGGTATTTTCGAACAGTATCTGATGCCCGGTATCGAATATCATTGTTGAGGAGTGCATGTGGGAGTACATGGGAACTTTATTCTTATCTGAACCGATCTCGATAAAATTTAACAGAGGTATTTTCTGATGTCAGGTACCAAATATCATTCATGTGGAGTACATGTTACGCATGTGAGGACTTAACACCCCAAATCGGATGAAACATATATATGGGAGCTATAGCTTTATCTGAACCGTGTATGTACTTACTTCTACACTGAATTCGGTCGTATGTGCCAAAATTCAGGTAATTTGGACTGATATTGGCCGCTTGGTACAGAACCCGAAATCGGTTGAAGATATATATGGGAGGTATATATAAATTTGAAACGATTCTCACCAATTTCTATAGAGTTCGTCCTTGTGCCAAACAAACATTGTTTGGAAAATTTAATCTCAATCGGATAATAAATGCGACCTGCATTTTGTTCACAAAAATACATGGACAGGCGGACGGAAAGTGATTCTAAGACGATATTCAAAAAAAAAAAACTATGGGTCAATCTCGCTTCCTTCTCCATGTTACAAATAATTCACAAAGACATAATAATACCCTTACGACTATGTGGTGTAAGTGTATAAAAGTAACAAGTAATAAAAGTGTAAGCTCGGCCGGGCCGAACTTTTACCCTCCACCACTTGGAAAGAATTTAGCAATTTTCAAAAAAATACAATCCGTTAAAAATGCTGTTAAAAATATCAAATGTAGCCGTCATATTAGGGTCTAAACGATGAAGTCGACCTGCATTCAATTTTGTCATAACACATTATAATATTTAAATGCGAAACATGGAAAAAAAATCGGTGAATAATGTATTATTATATGGGGGCTATACCAAAATGTGGAACTGCACAGACAATTGTCAGCATAAGGCTGCAGTATCCATTACTAACTTCAAATACCAAATTTCAAACAATTCCGATGAATAATGTCCCCAAAATCATCAAATACCTGGGGACCTAAATGGCCCATTTTCAATACCAAAAGTCCTGCAGACATAATATACATTTGAGTAAAATTTTATCAATCAACTTAATTTCGTTCGGAAGCTAGGGTGATTTCCACAGACCGACGGACATAGCTAAGTCAACATAGAATTTTGTGCTGATCAAGAATATATGTACTTTGTGGGGTCTAAAATGTATATTTCGAGGTGTTATAAACGGAATAACAAACTTAATATACTCTCCATACTACGGTGAAGGGTATAAAAAAACCAAAGCGTGGACCTATACATACAATGTTTCGCCACACGAACTAGGACTCATTATGACAAATACCAATTTTTAGACAAATCCGTGAAAAATGTGGCAAAAATCAAAATACAGAATATCGGGAGGTACCGTTACATGAGGACTATACCAGAACGTGGGTCGATATATTTGCATTTTCAATACCAACCATCCTAGACACAATACAAATTATTCTGCTAAATTTTGACGCTCTACGTCAAATAATGTAGGTTGTAGGGTAAGTGCGCATAAGTTCGGCATGTCCCAGTAGTCGGCAGTTTTGAAATTTAAACTTAAATAACTAAGAATAGAATTGACCAAATAATGAAATAATTGCAAAAAAGCGTCAACTGTGTTATCTGCTCTCTTTCTGTAAAAAAAACAATGGACTCCGATCATTTATGAAGAGAGAATAACGGGTTTTGGCAGTGAGTGTCTTCCAACGCGTGCGATAGTGCTTGTTTGTAAAGAAAAATTAGTGGTGGCGTCAATTTAATAATCGATTTAAGTAAATTAAATTTAATACTTTTGGAATCAGAAATATTTTATAATAGTAAATAACAGTCTAAAGATCATTTTATAACTTAAAAAACATACATAATCAAGAATTTTTCTCTTAAATTATTTAATGCCGACATTAGAAAGAGAAAAAAGAGATTTGCCAGTAGTCGGCAGGGGGTGAAAAATATCATTTTTGACCTATTTCACCAAAACTTGAAAAAAGTATTAAAAAATAATCCAAAAACTACTCACATAAAATATAGTTTTGAGTTGGCAGTTGCTTTAATTTGTGCTTTTTGACCAACTTTTCTAAATTAAGTAGGTTTTTTTTTAAATCAGCTATTTGACGTTGAAGATAGCGGTGGCATTTAAAAAAAATTTTGGTTATCTAAAGGAAAAAGATCAATTCACAAATTCCAAATATAAGAAAGGTACTTTTTTATTTAATCTCAATTTTTTTTCAATTGAAAATCCAAACGTTACTGAAGGAACCATACTATTCTTGATTTTCTACCTATATTTGGTTTAGAATGATAATTAAATAAAACACAATTTTTGCCAATTTTATATATACAAATTCAATTGTTGTTTATTATTCCAAAACTAAACAAAATTTGGAATCTGAACAACTTTATTTTTCTGCAATTGAAAGATTTCACTCAGAATGTCGAAAGATTGAAATATTGAAAAACCTAAAAGTGCCGACTACTGGTACACTTACCCTATCGTGATTTCAACAGCAGACGGACAACGTTAAATCGACTTAGAATTGTATGCTGATTATAAATATATACTTTATGGGGTCTACGACGAATATTTAGGGATATTACAAACGGAATGACAAAGTTAATATACCCTCCTTTCCAAGGTGGAGGGTATAAAAATAACAGGAAACAGAATTAGAGTTCTTGTAGTCACAGATCCATAGAAATGTTGTCAACATCACAAGATACGCATCATATTTTATTTAGAAGAGCGAATCAATCCTTGCATTTGATATTTTTTTGTTGTCCAATTGGTGACATTTCGAAACATTAGATACAGTAAATGTTTTAAAAATCATCAACCAATCTGTTTTAAAATATTATCTATAGCATTTTCAGATTAAATGAAACCTTTTGCAATTCAAATTAAACTTTTTGCAGCGGAAATGAAACCTTTTGCAGTGGAATTGAAACCTTTTGCAGTGGAAATGAAACCTTTTGCAGTGGAAATGAAACCTTTTGCAGCGGAAATGAAACCTTTTGCAACCGAAATGAAACCATTTGCAACCGAAATGAAACTTTTTGCAAATCAAATGAAACTTTTAAATTTATAGAAGGAAAAATAACAAAACATTTTTATTTTTAGTAGTTTTTAAATTAAATCAATTAATTATAACTAATATATTGACAAAGAGGATTTTTTATTGATTATAAATATCTACATTTATTTATATTATTTCTGAAATTTTCAATTATTGTAATAACAAATGGTTCTTTATTGATTTGATATAAAATGCTTCCATATTATTAAATCCCAAATGCTTAACGATAAAAAGAGAAATTTAAACAAATTTTGGCCTTTATAGGTATGGCCAGGACTGAAATGTGAAATTAAGCTTTACCACAATTTTTATAGTTATAGTATACTATTAATCTTACCTAATAAAGGATTCCCGCTTAGCAGCTTTATTGATCATTAAATCAACTATGATCATGATTGTATATACTTTATGGGGTCTACGACGAATATTTAGAGGTGTTACAAACCGAATGAGAAATTTATTATATCCCCCTTTCATGGAGGAGATTATAAAAAGGTACCTAATTCGGGTCCTTTGAAAAAAATACCTTGAAAAAACTTTTTTCAATCTTTCTGCATCTACACTTGTGTTTTATGGAAGCTTTAAAAAAATTATAAAAACATAGATATTAATAATCAATAAAAATTCCTCTTTAACTATATATTAGTTATAATTAGTTGATTTAATTTTAAACCTACTAAAAATAAAAATGTTTTGTTATTTTTTCTTCTAAAATTCTAAAAGTTTCATTTGATTTGCAAAAAGTTTCATTTCGGTTGCAAAAGGTTTCATTTCGGTTGCAAAAGGTTTCATTCCCGCTGCAAAAGGTTTCATTTCCACTGCAAAAGGTTTCATTTCCACTGCAAAAGGTTTCAATTCCACTGCAAAAGGTTTCATTCCCGCTGCAAAAAGTTTCATTTGAATTGCAAAAAGTTTCATTTAATCTGAAAATGCTATATATGTTTTAATAATTTGCCTTATCAATAATTTTGGGCAAACTTATAAAATAAAATAAAATATAAGAAAAACTAGAATTTCAGTTTTCTCTTTTACGGACTTATCTACTAGCAGGTCTGCTAAAGTACAGCATACTATGTTAGGCTTTAAAATGTTGATTTATAGTTGTCAAACTGCAAGAAGTTCTAAGGAATTATAATGGCTTCAAAGAAATTTATTTTTGACATGCGGATTTATAAACACATATTTTTATACATATATATTTTGACCGTTAGTTTTCTGCGTTAATATTCTTCTACTCAGCCAAGGACCGTCATCTCAGCTCAGTCCTCGTATTTACATTGGCCCTATGGAGCGACACATTTTTAAATCAATGTTGCAGTGATTTTTCCTGTTTGGAACTGCGATTGCCTCAAACCAGCGGTGCTCAAAACCGTGTTCTAGAACATGAAGAGAAAAAAGAGAAAATTAAAATTCTGTTTTTCTTTATATTTTACGGTTCTATTAAATTGTTTTTAATCACGAATGTTTGCCAAAATAATTTATAAAGCAAATGGATAAAAAATATTTGTATAAATAATGACTTAACACTGTTTTGTTCTTGATTTAAATAAGCAAAGAGAAATTTGACTGAAAAGAGATATTTCTTCTTGAGCACCGCTGCTCAAACACATCTTCTAGCGTTGCTCTCTCTCTCTCTCTATAATCTTTGTGTTCCCGACAGGTTTTTATTTGGGGTAAATCTAACATTGCAAAAAATCAGATTTCATTCAGAATTACCAATAAGTATTTCAACTTACCTATAGACGGACCTAGTCGTTTTTCGCAGCTTTATACAAGTACATAGATATGTAGTTTCTTCATCAGCTCCAAATGACTCCAAGTATTCGTTGGTATTTCGTTTTTTTTTTTTTCCATACCTTAGGGGTCACAAGAGCTTTAACGTTTAGACAAAATAAATAGTTATCGCTCGGATCAATCCATAAACTATCTCACAAAAACACTTCACACACACACACACGCAAATTGCTTTTGTATTGTTTCTTTATTTAAGCCCTACATACCAAACGAAATTGAGATTAATATTATAAGAAGCTTACGAAGATAGGCCTTGAGCTTGAAAAAGGCATGACAAAATACAGCTAGGGATTAATCGAAGCAGAAATCTTATTTATAGGCTCATAGTTATTAGTTTGAGCCTATACTTAGACCTCACAAAAGCTCTTGCAAATTTGCTCTTCAATGACAGTTTTTTTTCCAAAAGCATAGATAAATGACGATATAGACAACGAAAAGTTAATTTTGTCTTTTTATCCAGGTGGCTCTCATCATGTTTTGCATATTCAACATGCTGATTTACGCGTTCAACCCACTCGACTTCGAAAACACATTTTATCGTTTTTCAAGATGTTCACTGGAATATTACCATATTTTTCGATGCCACTACATAGTTTTCACTTATCGTTTATTATGGAACAATTTTCAACTGACAAATATCCAACAGTTTTTTAAAATTGAGTAACTTCAATATTCTCACTCATACCCCTGAAACGATATAGACGACATCGGGTGATGCGATTTTTTCGAAGATAAATGGTGAGAGCATTTCGTTGTCTATATTTTCATTTGTCTATGCCAAAAGTCGTCAACAAAGAGTTCTGCAAGCTCTGTCAACATTTGTTTTATGATTCTCATATTAACTTTTTGGTATGTTGGGATTTCTCTTTTTGTTTTCGTGCTGTGTCCGGCGTGCTTTATTCGAATGTGAATTTTAATTTCACGTTTTAGTTCCGTTTTCGCTTATTTCGCATTTTGTTTTGGAATTGTTTGACAAATACACTGCCAACCCGCAAACTGAGTTACTGAGTGTCAATCCCCGCTCCTAAAGTAGTTTTGTATGTGTCTTTATGTGTCTTGCACTAGGATCGCGAAGAGCGAGCTGTTAAGTCTACACCACCACAGAAATCTCCACCTAACTCACATGTAACCTGTACGTTATCACCACAGGAATCGATACAGGAGGAACCCGAGAGGGAGATCAACGAGGGGTTGCCATTGATTCAACGCTTGCAGCAACTAAAGATCAAAAACGATCCTCCTGCTGCCCAGGGCACCGACCCCTCTCCACCGGTAAGTTTATTTTTTCATTCCTGACGCATTTCTGGTACCATGACCGATTCTTTCAGATCATGTCGGTAGGTGAAATTATAAAAAAAGTAGAAAACATATCGATTGCAAGTAGCAGCCATAGCAACACGGCGCCGACGTCTCTGGCAGTAGCCCAAATAAAACCGATGATGAAGGTGTCATTTAGACAAAGGATACAAAAACTACAAGAGGCGGCAGAGAGTTCAAGTGGCAACGGCACCAAAATACCACAAACTCAAAGCACAGAACCCAGTGAAAAACTGGCTACGACTGCGTCAGCCTCCAATGGAGGTGTAAAGAAGGAACCACCCAAATCATTAGCTGTTTTGAAAAGTGTTGAAGCAGAAACGCCTATGGCCGAGAGAGGGAATAGTGATGGGTCCAATGCATCGCACAAACAAATTTCCACCATTTCAAGTCAAATCATCAAACCGTCCACAGCAACATCCTCAATTGTATCCGATACAGATACACCTATTAAACCATGGTCCAAGCTTAAGTTGGCGACAATGATTTCGTCCAGTTATACCAGTTTAGCCACATCAAACACATCCTCAGACGACATATTTTCTCCATTGAAAAACAACTCCGATGGCAATATTCCACGACAGATATCGAAAGAAGGACAGCCTCAGAAGGCATCAAAAGCCCCACCTGTGCCTGCGAGGAAAAGGGGTTATCGTCAAGACGCCATGGGCCAATCGTCAAAAATTTCTGATAAGTGCAAACAGGTTAACTCAGGCAATGGGAACACTGACGCAAACGCCACCAGATCGAAACTTTATCAATCTGTATTCGACTTATCACCCGAATACAACGGATTGCCTTTTGTGAAACGTCTCAAAATTCTCAACGAAAGGCAAAAACTTGCCGAGCTAGAGAGCGCCCTTCAAACCCGTAGCTTCAGCTTGGACAGTTCCAAAACAACCAGCTGTGTTCCCATGCCTGAAGCACTGTACCGTTGCCATAGCGATACGGCGGGCATAAATTCGCAATTTGTATCAGTGTACGAGTCAAGTTCCACGACATCGACCAACACATCCGCGTCGCAGACCCCCAAGGGTGTCCCATCCACACAGTACCACAGACAACATCATTTAGATTCGGTGCAACACGATTATGCCCCCCTCAGTCCAGAGTCCAATGAAACATTCGAGAGGAGAAAACTAAAAAGCATCCTCAAGAAATTCAGTCACGAACGACAACACCGACGATCGCCGACAGGGACTGGCTGTGATGCGCCCACAGACTCGCAACCGCAACACAGGAGTCTCTCAATGGAGCCCACAGTGGAAGGGTACGTGGCGCGGCACAGTAAACTGTTCAAGAGTGTAACATTCAATTCAACTCTTTCTAGCCCTCCCAGCAATGCTGGCAGTCTGCAAGAGGATCCCACATACACCGAAAAGCCTTTACATACCCACATATTGACACCGACCGCCGTGTCCTGTGCACTTTATGGCGATCCGCTGATGTCACCACCCGATCTCATACGTGCCGAATCAATTACCACGTGTACCTCAGCCAACGTCTCTCAGACATTTCAAATGAATAGTAGTAGCACCCTTACCATGTACCCCACAAACGTTTACCCGCTTGCCGATTCAAATCACACCACATGCCAGACCCATGCCCCATCGTTGACAGGTAATTACAATGTGCCGCCAGGCAAACATTCCCCCAGGAAACCACAACCCCGGCCCCTGCATTCGACACTACTAACCCAAAACTCAAATGCTTCTGTGTCCCCCTCCCACTTCGGTGTTATAAATCGATAATCTACTAATCCTGCAACTCAAGTAATGTGATGCAAATTAGCTACAAGCGAATGTCGCCAAGTAAATAACAAACTCGTAGATTAACCGTGCATATGTATGTACTAATTTTGTATATATTGCTCAAAACACACATACGTTTACACAGACTGATTGATTTGTATGGACTACAACACCGATCCTGCATTTATTGCATGCAATATTTATATTTATGTCTTAATTTAATTATTGTATTCGCCTGTAAAATTGGACAGATTCTATAATTGAGGAGAGAAACCAACGAGCAGTAACGTTATCAGTATGGGTATGTAAGTTCCAGGATCCATAACATGGTACAATTTTACTGGTAACAGCACGTGTTGTTGAACTATTGAAAGCAACAACCATATGCAAAGTAGTCCGAACGTCATTCGATAAATCATATTTAAATTTGAAACAAACTATTTTCATTTTACCAAGATTGCACCATGCTACAATATGAAGGTAGTGCAGCTTCGTAAAACTACAGGAATACAGCCCTGAGGCTATACCCGCTTCCTGTCAAATTTGCATGCAAATTTATTCAATATTTTTCCTCATTTTTAAAATCAGTTAAACAGTGGGAAAATGAATGAAATGGCTGGATTTTTTTTTTCAAAAATATGTTCTAAACAGTTCTTTCTTTCAATTCCATGGCAAACATGGCGAATAGCTTTAATGGGGTAAATTTGAATTCATTCAGAATTCATTTTTCTTTTATTTCAACAATTTTCTTTTTGTGGTTGTGCTGTCAAACTAAACGCCAGCAATTGCTGCTGCTTCTTGTTTTGGTACCATTCATTCATAATACAAAAAGTGTCAGTTAAATGAGTAAACAAGAAGTTTTGTTCGGCTGGGACGAGAAAAAAAAATAGAAAAAAAATTGTTAAAAGTGCCAAAGAAAATTGACGAGATTCAATATTCGAACGAAACGTTAACCTATGTTGAGCATTTTCTACACCTAATACTGGCATTTTCTTGACTAAATCTTCAAGCTTACCAAGAATATAAACGTTCTTAATGGGGTCTGAAAGGCATAATTCGAGTAGAATAGTGGAGAGTATAAAAATTGGCGTTTACACAAAAATATATGACATAAAATACGTGTCACTTGATGTGAAGCAGACCGAAATATGAATCAAAAACTTCAACAAACAGACTTGAAAACATTATGTCAGTGTTTTTCTTATTGACGTGGCCTGAGTGAAAAATGCTTTCAGAGCACAAGATCGATAACAGCAAACTCCCAATTGCCATTCTACCATAATGCTCTTGCTGTCAAAAGTATTCTGGCGAGGAATCGATCAAAATAAAGCAAAGCACCAAAGTACATAAGCAGCGTGAAGTCTTCGCATGACATATTTTGTGACATATCATAAAGGGATTCCAGAGCAGTCGTTTCCCCTCATAATTTGTAATTAATATGCCTAGCCATGATGCGAAGCAACACATGGACTCTCACCTTAACAAATGTTTCACAAACATAAAAGAATATTTTGTCCAAATTGAAATATGCATTATTAATTTTTACAGAAGAGAGCAGCTGGCCTTTACATTTACATTTGTATTTTTAAGTCTGAATGCGCTGAAGGGCCTTTGTGAAATTTTGACAAAAACAGAATGAATTGATCAGTTTTTACCGAATGGCACCATACTGGTAACCCACCCCTTATTCATATGTGTCGAAGAATTTATGACATCCTCTACATTTTATGGGGTTTTCTACGTTTAAAACTTTGCAACAGGCGAATAATAAAAATACGGTCATCTTTGTCCCCAGGCGTTGTCCAAAACAACACATTTCAGAGTAACCAAAAATGTAACAAAAACCAGAATGTGTTCGCCATTTCTGTTCCACCTTACATCAGCACTTAAAAACCCAGCAAAATTTTCCAACCGCAATAAATTTCTGAGCTTAGATAAATAATTGAGTAATTACTACATGGCCGGTCATATCGACTGAATCAATTCAATTTTTTTGTTTGCAAGGCTTCCTAATAAAAATAGGTAAGCCTTTTTTTAAATCGCTATTTGGAGGGGGATGACACCCCCTCCATCCTACACCCCTTTTAAAAAAAGCGCCACATCTCAGAAATTGTAAGACGAATTAGATTAAACTTTGGTAGACAAGGAAAACATTTAATTGAACACATTTTTCTATAATTCTTTTAATTTTCAACATACAAAAAAAAAAAAACAGGAAAGATACCCTACACCACTTTGCTAATTGACTAGAGCTCCACATAACAATTAAAAGATTTTATGGGAGAATTTAATTATACACGCTATGATTATAATTGTAATTTAAAGTTCAAAGGACTAAATATGCCGAAGCATTTGTATCTTTTAAATTCGGACTTGTATTCCCCATTTGGTGCACAATTAATTTGAAATCGGATAAAAATATATATGGGAGCTATATCCAAATCTGAACCGATCTCTATACAATTTAGCAAATGTATTTCTGAGCTTCATTTGATATATTTCCCCAAATTTTGTTGTTACAGAGTGCATATTACGGCTGCGGAGAACAAAAATAACAAAACGGATCAACAATATATATGGGAGCTATATCCAAATCTGAACCGATTTCGATCAAATTTGGCATACTTGTTTTGAGGCCTAATTTGGTTGTATGTGCAAAATTCCAAACTCTTCGGACTGATATTACACGTTTGGTGCACAATAAAAGGCAAATCGGAAGAAGATATATATGGGAGCTATATCTATTTTTTTACCGATTATCTCCAATTTCAATAGGGTTCGTCCTTGGGCCAAACAAGTGTTGTTTGGAAAATTTCATCTCAATCGGATAATAAATGCGACCTGCATTTGGACAGACGGACGGACTGACATGCATAAATCAACTCAGAAAGTGATTCTATGGAGATCCTCAAAAGTAACTATGGGTCTATCTGCTTCCTTCTCCATGTTACAGACAAATGCACAAAGACATAATATCCTTACCACTATGTGGTATAGGGTATGAACATATTTCGGTTACATTCAAATAAGTACATGTTATTTTGTTGTTTCAAAATAGTTATGCTTAATTTCATAATTGTTGTTTTTATAAAAAAAACAACGTTTGTTCATTAGTGGAAAGATGATATTGTTTACTATTGGTAAGGCAGGGAATGCCAGGGTTTTCAAGAGAGCCTCTAATCCTCATCAGTTCCCTTGGATTTTGTCTGGGGATATTATCTCCAGGATTTATTTAAAAATAACTCCTATGACAAAAACTTTTTTGACAAAGGTGACGAGATGGTAAGATCAATAGAAGAAGAGCCAAAGAATTGAATTAAACAATTTTTTTTTTTTTTTCATTTTTTGTAAATCTTACAACCGCACTTTTTAACATAATCATCTCCTCCACTCGTTATGCGCTTGTTTACCTGAACGAAATCAGCCTAACCATTGCTTTTAAGTTAGTTGTGCCAGTTACAACAAAAAACCCCTCGTCGACGGCGCCCTGTTCTATCAATAGAACAGTGTTGTTCGGGATACCGTAGTCATTTTGTTGTTGAAAAATAGTTAGACATACATCCTGCTTTGGCAAAAAAAAATAGCTTTCACTCGAATCGTTCGTGTTCAAACGTATTCGTTTTAATTTGGGTTTTCATAAATATTTTGAAAGCTCTCGTCCATTCCCGAAGAACTGTGATATGTCAGTGTTTCCTTAACCATAACCATGCCCCAATATATTCAAAATTCATCGAAAAATTGTAAAATAAAATTTAAAAATGTCGAGAAAACATTTGATGAATATAGTCCTGCAATATGCGCCAACAAAAAGTTGATATATAAGACAATTTTGGTATGATTCTGTAACAAACAGCCAATTTATGTTTAAAACGAATTGTTTTTTTTTTCTTCGTTACAAAACCAAAAATAGAAGGGAGAAAGCTTTTTTTCTTTCAGTGACAAACTGACAGAAGATAAATTTCGATAAATTTCCAAACGAAAAGAAAAAAATACTGTTACAAAATAGGCTATTAATCCTATAGTTGCTGCTTTTATAAAAACAACGTTTGTTTATTAGTGGATAAAACTAAATACCTTGTATGTTGGTTTTCACACAGAGCTTTATTGGAAAATTTCGATTTCTGAGAACCTTAATATACTTAAGATTTGGTGGTACCATTTTATAGAGGCTATAACAAGCAATGAACCCATTATGGGTAAGTTTTGGTAAAGACATCAACTACAACTTGTGGAATTGTCTTAACTCATTTTTTGAGTTACCGTAATTAACGAGATTCGTCGGTAAGTTAGTGATGAAATCAAAGTAGTCGCCAGGACCTACCGATAGATATCAATGATGTCAACTTTAACTTATTATTTATATAAAAATTTTGGATTTCAAAGTTACCGATTTTTGTCGGTAACTCAAAATATGATTTAGAGAATCCCACTACAGAGCTGTAGATTTCAAATATCTTCCTAATGGCTACAATTATTAAAAAATTAACATATTTAAACTGTAAATTATTTAGGTACACTAACGTTAGATTGAAAATTTTCCTCCTCTGACTAAACTAACTTATATTGACAGAGAGAATAACAAAAGACGTAGCAATATTTTATTGAGTTGAAATGTGCTTGAATCTGAGAATTATTATTAGACTACACCACTTTGAGTGACACCCACTGATGGCACTTCAATGATGTTAATTCACAGAGCGTATTCGATAATGCAGACATCTCTGCGGTATTAGCTGGAGTTAAGAGACTTAGTCAGTAGGACCTTCCAAATAATCTTGCATTTCACTTACCAAATAAATACATGATATAGAGATCAATGAGATCAATACGTTGATACCTACATGTACATGTGTCATCTTGTGCATGGCTTGAACCATGCAATACTCATAAATATTTTAGACATTCCTGTGAACTGTTTTGCCCAGTACCATAATGTTACACCAAGTGTTGCAAAAGAAATAAGTTCACAAAATTGTTGGTCCGTCCACCTATCTGTTTTCCATGCACATTTACATCCGTATACAAAATCGGATTTCATACATCTTATTTACGAAAGACGAACACAAAAATTACTTTTTGAAACCAATCACACGTTCATCACAACATCTTGAGCCAATTCGAGGTAGGTACATTTGATATAATTGTATATAATTGGAATGCGTATAGCACTAATACTAACAAAAGTCATGCAATGCCCTTTGTCGAGCGTAAGTAGCTTCCGAATGCGCCTTATATCGAACACAAAACACCGAGCATCTGTAGCTGAATACCAAAAGTCAAGCACGTGCACTGAATATGAGGCAAATCATCAGTTACTCAATTTTTTAATGTTGAATGTCTTGGCCCATTTCTATAAATAGGGTTTTCCGAAGGCCACGACTGCTTTAGCCAGATTTTGTGTGGCATCGACAGCGTTATACGAAAACATGTCAGCGATATGCATTCAAAGTTTGAATCTCAATTCTCAAGCATGGCTCTGGAGGTAGAGAAAAGGGACGCCCTGATTGCTCATCTTCAGTCGAAGGTCAGAACGTTGGAATTGAGCGCGTTGTCTACTTCGCGTAGGAAACAACATCGCGAGAAAACCAGTGGGAAGATATGTTCTGCTGCGAAAGAAGTTGACGAAGAGAATGATGCCAATGCCGAAGACGATTGTAGCTCGGGTTCATCGGCCGAATTGCTCTTTATGGTAAGGTTTTGCTCTCATGCAGCTGCATGGTCAACAATGGGTCGTAATCCAAATTCTTCTCTTAATATTTTCAGCGCGGCGATTCCCTGGACACAGTGTTCACTTCCTCCCCACCTACGCAATCCAAACGCCACTATACTTGTTCGCCGAACACCAGTTGGAATCGTGAAGATTTCTCCTACGACTACAGTCCATATGCTAAAACAGGCAATGGTAGCAAGGCGAAAAACGGCAAAAGCAAGACCACAAATCAAGTCGAATTGGTTGCTAACATGGCGGGCAATCTAACACGGCTGGGGGACAGTGTTATTCTGGACATTGGAGAGAGCAGTTCGAGTTCCAGTTCGTCGGAGGAGAAACTGCACTTGGACGAGGAAGTTGAAGAAAACGATGGTAACGATGACAACGACAGTTCTGACAAACAGGTACATCACAATGATTGGGAGGTTCGGATGTTGGCAGCTGAAATGGAGAAACAGGAAAGAAAACGAGGGCTTTCACTCAGCGAACACTCAGCTCTGCCCAACAGTAAAATGGGCAGCTCGTTTCTGCGAAGGCGAAGAAAGCTGAGCGACACCGAAACGGAATGCAGCGAAACCGAAGTCGAACAAACACCAACCCATTCCCGACCTCGTGCCTCCAGCCTTGACCAGTTCAATATGAGGTACGGCATCGGCCGCAGCGGCATCTTCAAGGCCATGAGCATCGATCGTGATAAAGACAAACTTTGAAAATTAGTTAAATACACAAAAACCCGATCTTATGTTAATAGTATTTTAGTCAGTAAATTAAAGCAATTTCACAGTATTGAAACGTACAATTACATTCTAGTTTAAACTACCAAAACCAAATACTAAGGTACATTCGTACATACGTACATAACTAGCTTTACGACCAACAAACGAGCGCAATAACGCCAATAGCATTTAATAATCGTATTAAGGGACCACAGTGCCCAGCGTCCTAAGTCCCGCCCTCGGTCGCGACACCAAGTGCACAGACAGCCGAATGCTCGGGTTCTCGCTGAAACCGAAAAGTACAATTCACGACTACCAGTCACCGCCACTGTGTCCCCTTAACAGGCTAAGAACTACACTTGGTTTTGACGCGGTGCCAACGAATGTCCCCGACAAGTCTTCATTCCAGATGGCGTCCAATGGGAGGAGGCGATCGATCGATGGTCCAGTGTCAGATGGTAAATGAAAACCAAATGTCTGTCAAACATGTAAATACCTCTTTAAAATAATAAGATAACGGCCTATATTTTTAAGGATACTACTTTAGAATAATGAAATCTGAAAGCTTTAATAACTTATATAGATTTATTGAATATGTATTATTGAAACACACAAACACACACACACACCCACATAAACATATGTAATTGTTTTCAGACCCGACCACCTTTCCATTTCACAACAACAAAAACCAACCAACTTCACCTAATGTAGATAATTTGTAAATTGCTTCGTAATACACCATCACTTTATGGGTACCATTTCACGTTTCTCAAAATCCGTTTCTTTTTGTCTTTGTGTATGTTTTAAGTCTTGCAATAGCTTTTTTTCCTCTTCTGGTATAATTGTTCAACACCTTCAAAAAAGTAACTCTGATCTTTTTCGAAAAAAAAAAACATAACACCTGGAGTCCGTTTCCAAAACACGAAACAACTAACGTTGAAATAAGCATTTTTTTAAAGGAGATTACATTACAATACATTGAAAAGGCCACATACAAACTTGGCAAAGTTTAGAATCTAACGATTTCTTAAAACTTTTATGGTATATGCAAAAAAGTCACAACTCAATATTGAGTTATCGTAGCGAGTCGATCTTATTATTGACATTATTCTTATTATTGGCACATTATAATGACATAGACCAAAAAAGGTTTAAGCGAACAAATACTTGTAAACTATAAAATTAACAAGTTTGAATCGGACATTACAACATTCAACAAAATTATGCAATACAATCCTCAAAGTTTTACCAAAACACTTCTTTGAATAATTCTTCTCTATCTTATATGAGATTTACTGATACTGTGCTAGAAGGAGTGGACCGATATTGTTAATTTTAGCATGCTGCATAGAGTTGGTACAAGAAGGGAGTTTTCATTCGTAAAATGTGATTTACATAAGTATTATCTATTTGCGAGCCTAAGCTAAGACTAAAATCAGATTCTCCCTTCGCCCTCTATCAGCCATACAGATATCAATTTTACAATACACCATATACTTTTCAACAAATATTGCTCGTTCATATTCAAAATTGTTGAACCGCTTGAACAATTTAAACATATCTATTTTCATAAAACTCCACACTAATGGGCTGTTTTGAACATTGGTCAACCACACTTAACTTTGGCAATGGTGAACAATTATGCCAATATTCTAAAAACTGTTTTCTGTCAAACTACACTCTGTATTTAAAATAACAGCTGATATAACCAACAGAAGATAATGGAGATGCCTGTGCACGTCACTTCTCTACATCTTGGCTAGGGTATTTAAAGTGACTTAACTTTTATAAAAGTCGAAAATTAATCCGTTCATAAATGAAAATCAAGTGATTTTATTTTTTAATTAAGCAAATTAAATATATATGTATATATATAAAATACATATTTGTGTAGCATACAAATATATGGATAAATATGCCTTTTACACGTTCGTACATGTTTCGATCTTAAATCCTCTACATTTCACTTTTACATGTGTGTGCGTGCATTATTGCAATTTACTTTTTATTTAGGAATACATCAGGGACCACGAACAATTTATAATATTTATTTTTATTTATTAACAATATTCATGGTTTATTATTAATTGTAATAGTTTTTTTACATTATATTCTTAAAATTTGAAGCTGGCACACACAATGTAATATACTGATATGAAACCCTAAAATATATAAGATTTCTTCGCGGTTTTTGGGACATTCATATTGCAGCACTTTCTAATAAATTTATGTAAATACCAGCAGCAGGTGCTTTTTATTTTTATATATTACACAAAACCATATATGTATGTGTACAAAGGAACTCTCATTCATGTAAAGTGTAAACAGGTGATTGTAAACTCCGTAAAAAACTGTAAAAAATTAAAAATCATATTCAATTGATTGGGTTTGACTAATTTTGTCAAGCGTTTTTAAAACTTCTATTAGATTAGCAATAAGGAGAAGCACTTGATATAAATTGCGCACTATGAATGAGGGATTTCATAAAACTATCATGGTATTATGTAATTATATTTTTCATAGAAGTTCTATTTTTAATGCAAAAGCGACGAATATGAATGCCCCAAACTTTGTTCAAACTATATTTGTAATAAATATCTCTATTCTGTTATTGATCTATATGACATACACATTATCGCTGTAAAAATACGTTTACAGACACATTTTTATTCGGGTTAGCAGTAATAACCCTGCAAGCATTTGGAAGTGAGTAACTCACTCCCATTTTAAGATGCCACTTCTGTGACGCTTCTAATCGTAATAAAAACGATAGTATGTACATTTACAATAACAAAACTACTGTTGTCTGTTTTCTATCGCCACGGAGTTACTACGTAGTGGCGTCAAGGAAGATAAAATAAGTTGTCGCATGTGCAGAAACTATTTTGTAACTTCTGTCGGATGAAGCATTGATAGATTACAATTATTATATGAGGAATATAAGACACTGTGACCCAGTGGTAAGCATGCCAGCTTCGCTCTCGCAGAAATGGCATCTTAAAAAGGGAGTGAGTGACCCGCTTCCAAATGCTTGCGGGGGATCGACTAATCACAATACATTTTACAATGAAAAAAATAGGTTCAATTTATTGTGGTTATTGGTCAATTATTACTGTCGATCGCTTCAAAAAATAAGCAAGTAAACGCGCTCTAAAAGCTGAGCATATAAACGTGACCATTAGACTTTACACTATTCTCACAAAATAAAATGTGTATTTTTTAAACTTTTTGATGACAAAAATATTAATACATCCTTTTTTGATTAAATGAAGTAAAAATAATCCTATTTTTACAAGTACGTCAATTATATAATGAATACATATTTACATATAAACATATGTACTTGCATACAAACGTAGTTATATTCATTAATATACACATACATATATAAATCATTGATGATAACGATCCCGAACCTCAAAGTTGTCATTGTTCCACCGAAAAACTCATATTTCGGAACTTGTTTCATTTTTAATAATTTGTTTTTTTTTTTTTTAATATATGTAACTATATACATAGTCGAGGCAGAATTAGCAAGCAAATGGCAACAAATTCGGGCGGATCGAACCTTTTTTTATCCCTTATCGAATATGTACCGTTATATGGGGACTATAGAAAAACGAGGATCAACGTGGACAATTGTCGGTTGAAGGGTTGGTATCTATTACAAACCCAATTTTAAACGCTTCCGTTGAAAAATATTACTAAAATCATCCAAATAAATACCTACGGGAAAACGTGGACTTATGTAGACAATGTTATTTCATGAACCCGTTATGAACCATAACTACCGAAATAAAAAATCTGTTGAAAAAGGTGGCTTGTGGTCAAAATATCGAATATCGTGAGTTTTTAGCTTTTTATCTCCATTCGTTCGGAAGATAATGTGATTACAATGTCTAACTTGACTATTCCGAGGAAGTACTATAATCTTAAAATTAATTTTACAATTTTTAGCAGCTCTACAGGCTCTGCTCCAGAACCTGCAAGAATCTACAAGTTTTGCAATTTTTTCACAAGTTATTGTGAAGGAACGTGACGTTTCCATTGATATCAATTACACGTCAGACCCACTCAGATAACTGAGCTACAGCCAAGGTCTCATGAATTTTATTGTTTACAACGCAACGAAAATCCCGAAAAATGGATATTTATTTGCAATATAGCCGACTTCAATCTGGAATATGTGCCATTTTACAAAAAAGTAACAACGGCCCATTGATTGATTCGGGACATATAGTTACATGGATGTAGCCGAAAATTTTAGATGTACAACAAGTAAAAAAGCTGTAAGTTCGGCCGGGCGAACTTTAAATACCCTCCACCATTTGGTACAAATTTGGCAATTTCCAAAAAAAAAAAAAAAATAAAATCCGTTAAAAATTCTGTTAAAATCTTTAAAATACCAAATGCTTATACGACGACGTGGACCTGAAGTATCCATTACGAACTTCACATGCTAAATAATGTCGCTAACATTATCAAAATACCGAATATCGGGGGTACGGTATATGGGGGCTATACGAAGACGTGGACCTACATGGCCCATTTTCTGTTTTATGCTGCAGTATCTATTACGAACTTCAAATACCAAATTTGGAACGATTCCGTTAAATAATGTCGCTAGAATCATCAAAATACCGAATATCGGGGGGTACCGTTATATGGGGGCTATATGAAGACGTGAACCTACATGGCTCATTTTTTTACTTAGGATGTGGTATCCATTACGAACTTCAAATACCAAATTTGAAACGATTCCGGTAAACAATGTCGCTTATATAATCAAAATACCGAATATCGGGGGTACCGTTATATGGGGGCTACACGAAGACGTGGACCTGCACAGATAATTTTCTGTCTTAGGCTGTAGTATCCATTACGAATCTCAAATGCCAAATTTGAAACAATTCCGGTGAATAATGTCGCTAAAATCATCAAAATACCGAATATAGGGAGGTACCGTTAAATGGGGGCTATATGATAACTTGGACCTACATATGATAACATGAACCCATTTACGAACTTAACCTGCCTACTGGCAAAATATACATGTGTGCAAAATTTTAGCCTTCTATCTCAATTTGTTCGAAAGATAGCGTGATTACAACAGACAGACGGACATGGCTAAATCGTCTTGATTTTTTTGTACACTCCGTCGAATTCTAGGTGGACTTGTTTCAATTTTTGATGTACAATGCGTATAGCAATTCATGCGCTTAACTTCTATCGTAAATATAGGGTTATGGTTAGTAACAACAAATACGTAAGATCCTTAACAAAAAATTGTTTGGCTAAGTCATCAAGTTGCGCGAAGGAATCTTAGGCCTAAACTATTACATTTCAAGTCAACCAATGTACAGTGGTCGCTGCCGTTGGCCAAAATTCAAAAAATGAAAATCAGATATTTATTGTCAAATGTGTACAAATGAACTCTTAAGTGGTTAAGCTTATTAGAAAGCATAATAATCTTGGCTTCATTCTAACGGCCCACTTCAAAAATAGAATCAAAAAAGAGAAAATGTTGTTAGTTGCTTTTTTTCAGTGGGATCAGAGAAAAAGTGGAGTAAAAATAGAAGTCGGGGCCGACTTCATGATACCCTACACCACTTTGCATATTTAGTAGAGCGTCACTTAACAAATAAAGGTTTTTATGGGGAATTTGTGAGAATTAAATCATACCAACTATGATTATGGTAATAATTAAATGTGCAAAGGAACTAATATATGGGAGGAATATCCTCCTCTGAATGGATTTCTACTAAGTTTGTCGAGGCATTTGCGCCTTTTCAATTCGGGCTTGTATTATCCATTTGGTGCACAATCAACTTGAAATTAGATAGATATATTTGATTTGGGCTAATATTACACGTTAGGTGCACAATAAAAGGCAAATCGGACGAAGATACATATTTGAGCCATATCCAAATATTAACAGATCTCGATAAAATTTAGAAAGGGTATTTCTGAGTTATATTTGATATATTTCCCCAAATATTGTTGTTACAGAGTGCATATTACGGCTGCGGGGGACAAAATAACAAATCGGATGAACAATATATATGGGAGCTATGTATAATCTGAACCGATTTCGAACAAATTTGGCATACTTATTTTCAGGTCCAAAAATCATACTATTTGGGCTGATATTACAAGTTTAGTGCGCAATATAAGGCAAATTGAATGAATATATATGAGAGCTATAGCTACATTTTGACCGATTATCTCCAATTTCAATAGGGCCTTAAGTCAAACAAATTATTTGTGCAAAATTTAACTTTGATTTAATTTTACATTAAATTGTTATTTTATTTTGTTTACAAAAAATAATCAAATTTGGACTTGATTTGTATAAAAAATGCTTCTATTTTTGGAGGTACCTTTACAGGGGGACTCTACCTGAAGGCGGGTTGTTCCAAAAAATTTTCAGTAAGATTATTTTTTAACTCCATAGAACGTAAAATGTCAAATAACATTACAATCTGGTGTAGAAATGTGACAAGAATTGGGCAAATAACCCTTATTCGGGAGGTACGTTGTAAGGGGACAATGCCAAAAACTGCATCGACCATATCCATTTTGTCACATTTTTTATTGTTATCCCTTCAAGGTACCATAACCAAAGATTCATATTGATAACTGCACTGAAAGTATTTTTGGCCGCTGTTCCCATACGACCTCGACCACTGTGCAATGGCTTGATGAGCGTTAAAATTAACGTGTGATTGGTTTTTCTATATCTTTCTAGACAAAATAAATCCGGCAACTTTCAGTGACACAAATGTCAAAATTACTAGAATTTCTTATAAAACGAAGAGTAAAACTTGTTACAAAAGATGTCTGTAAATAGTGAAACATTTTCTGTTTTTAACTTTTTCTCGCTTCCTTTATATCGTTATATCACTTAAGAGCAATGACAATTTTGTGAACAATATTCGGGCATATTCCTATTCTTGGATGTCCAATCTAATCGTTATTGTCTGTGAAAAGCAGAATCTAGCTAATAATTGACAGAAAACCAAAGCAATTTGTTTGTTTTTGTTAATTCATACATACGTTTTTTAATATAAAAATATACATACATATATATATTTAGATGATATAACAATGGATCTCCGATAAATAATGTTAATTAGTGAATAACATAATCTTACAACTAACAAACAAAACAACAATATTTTTAACCCATGGAAGAAATGCTAAAGCAAACCCCAATTAAAAAAAAAAACCTGGTAAATGAAATAAAACAAAAACAATACTGGAACGAATGAATATTATATGAAAACTAAAATAAAACAAAACTAAACTAAACAAATTCATTGAATTTAATGAAAAGTATATTTACGAAAGCAGTAGTCCAAATAGAAAATTATAAATGAATAAAAACCAATGAACAAATACATATTTTGAGTAAATTTTAAAGGTTTTAATTTTAAATATTTAGCAGAGTCAACTATAGCTTTCACACTCGACACAAACCTACAAGAGAGATTTAACAAGAAATAAATGAATTAAAAAATCAATCATTGCATTGTTGTTTTACTTTTCAAAACTGCCTAATTGTCAAGTGGGGTTTCATAAAACTATATACACTTTATGTTCAAATCTGTAGCAAATTTAGACGTTAAAATATCACATAACATAGACTGAATAACTATATTGTTTTATACGCAAACAATTTTTATACCCTCCACCATGAAAAGGAGGGTATATTACGTTGTCATTTCGTTGGCAACATTCCTAAATATTCATCGTAGACCCCATAAGATATGTCTGTTATGGACTGTAATTTACCCCTACACACGTGTATGGAGAAGAGGCATTATTTAAAACGTGTAACTTTCCAAGTGGTCCGGCTGAATTTAACAGCTAATTGTTTTTATTTTGGTTGGTGTTAAAGGCATAATATTTTACCATAATGGGGGGGTGGAAGGTGAGTATTTTCATATGGTACGTCGGGATTAGGTAAACCTGTAATACAAAGGCACTTACTACGAACATAGCTAAGAGAAAATTTCATTAAACAAATTTACTGACTTGATAATTTTTAAACGGTTTTATTTAGCTTACCGCGTTTGTTTTATTCTTGGATCAAATTTAGTAATTCAAATTTCACCCTCTTCCTGTTAACCGATTAATCTGAAATTTTGTTTACACTGTGGATTTTGGTGACAATACAATTATGTTTATTCGTTATCTATATATATAAAAAAAAGTTGTGTTAGTTACTACGCTTATAACTTAAGAACCGCTGGACTGATTTTAACGATTCATACAAATTCGGAATTACCTCCTGTCCAAAAAGGATAATATCCAAAAAAATCGCGTAAAAATGTGATATATTAACATTTTCATTTTGACTTTTGAAATTTACAATAGTAATGTTTTATTTTGCATGTTTTTTTTCATTTTGACTTACTTTTTTCGAATGTACATTTGTAGTGTTTTTTTATATTTTGTTTTTGAATTCGAATATTAATACAAATTTATTTAATTGACTTGATTTCTTGAGAACTGAAATTGGTGTCGGGTTACATGGAAGTGTATTACCGAATTATGTGGTTGCGAAACGGAATATATGATATCGAAATAATTTAAAACGGTCACACTAAAGTTAAAAGATAATTGCTTTTTCAAAATCGCTAAAAAATCACGAAAAAAGATATCTCATTGCAATAATTCTCAAATCGGGAAAAAATCGAAAAAAAAATTAATGGAATCGAATTTTAAAATAATAGTACATTTTACAGACAAAGTTTGCAAGGATCTTTAAACATTTGCTGTAAAAAATCAGCGAACAAATTGAAGATTTTTTCAATTTGTTATTCTTCTTTTGTCAATTTTTTTTTCAATTTGTATTATCATATTGAATTCAGTGAATTTTTTGTGAACAAAATAAATAATAATTTTTCACTATATACAATTTTTCACCAAAAAATTGAAATAAGTGCGAAATACGATGTTAACTGACATCTACCTTTCAACTCCAGGGCCGACATCGTGGTTCAGATGGAAGATACGAACACATTTAAACAAACAAAAATTACCGAAAAAGCATAATGGGGCTCATTTCAAAGCGTGGACCTACTTCTTTCATGTGACAATAATCCGTCCAATGAGAGCTGAAAATGCAAAATTCTTTGGGAGTACAATCAATAAAATACCAAATATGTGGGTAGAAAATAGTAGAGCGTATGGGACTCTTAGTAAAAAAAGGATTTATATCCTTCCAGAAATTCTTCCCAAACATTCAAGATACCTTAAATCGTTTTTGCAGGCCATGATATTGATTTCATATTTATATAACCATCATTTGATTTAAGCTATTTCTGGGGTTTTGGCCATTTTTTTCATTTTTTGGCCCTTATTTGGCATTTTTGTTTCTAAGGGGGTAAAGAACCTTTTCGCATAAAATTTGAAATTTTCAGAGTAGGGTCAATTTTGGCATTGACCACATTAATCAATTGATTTGAAAATTGGGTAGGGAACCATCATACAGATAATTGCCCCATACGAATTTATTTAAGTAAAGTCCATACATTGGAGTATCCCCAAGTCCAGTTTTACATCTAACGTGTGGTCAGCGAAGAAAATTTTGTATTCTATTGAATTTGTAACCCCCAAGAGAATATTGGTTGGGAACGTAGATTTGGGATGTACGTCTATATGAAATCAATTGTGAAAACATGAACAAATTACAAATATATGAAAGTAGCACGGAACCGAATATTTGTTGAATCGTCATTGAATTATACTATGATTAAAAATATGGACTTTATGGGGTCTCCAATTTACAATTTAAGTGGCAAATAAAATTAATTCCCATCTTACGGTAATGGGTGTAAAATAGCTATATTTTTGATTTGGCCTCTATTTGTAATATTGGATTATAAGGGGTAGAAGAAAGTTTTCAATGTAGGTCGATGTATCGGAGTAGTGCCCATATAAAGGTTCCTCCTGATTTTACCATATTTCAAAGGATTTGGCTAAAAATGTATATTTTGGGTGGAAGTCTTACATAAAAATTTCAACATATGAACAAAATTTTAGAATTTTATCCATGTAATAGTACCCCTTCAAGTCCACCTTTTGGCGAACAAACAGACCGACATGGTTTGGGGGACTTATGAGGACTCTAATGCACAATCTTTGGCTATTCTTAAATGATTCAGCCCTCAATTATGAGATGTACAAAATGCAGTAAATTCCAAATTACTGCTCATTTGACTGGAAAATTTTGCTACGATTTTTACCATACTAAAAATTAATTTGATCCCTTATATGGCGATAAGATTGATATATACTTTTTAATGGATTTGTATAGCACACCCACACATTTGAAGTTCACGGTTTAAATATTGATGCCCACTGCTTAAATATGGGTACAGGCATGGTACAATGAATACAAGGTAGGCTAACTTTGAAAAAAATGCAAGTATAGAGGTCTACCTGTTTGGCTTGTAATGTCAGAATCACTATCAAAACAATAAAAAAGCAAAAAACTTGTTGCATTGATTTTGAATAAATAATTTAAAACCGCGAAAACTAAATGAAAGGTCAAAATTTCTTTTCAAAATCATGTTCTATATGTCTCTTATGGTTTATTCCGCGACAAAAAATGTAGACTTTGTCGATGCATATGTTGCAATAAGCATTTTGAAAATACCCGAATTTGAATATTTTCTGAACAATTTTTTTTATTATTGAAAAAAATACGCACACATAAACAAATAAAGTTGACATATTAAGCCAGAAAAATAAAAAAATTGAAATCATATGGTAGTTCTGCCCTACCTTGAATTCATTGTACCATGGGTACAGGCATGGTACAATGAAGAGAAATTGCAAGTTTGGCTTGTAATGTCAGAATTAGTATCAAAACAATAAAAAAATCATACAACTTGTTGCATTTATTTTGAATAAATAATTGAAAACCGCGAAAACTGAATGAAAGGTCAACACTTCTTTTCAAAACCAGGTTCTATATATCTATAAAGGATTATTTCGCTACAAAAACTCTAGATTTTGTCGATGCATACGATGAAATAAACATTTTGAAAACATCCGAATTTGAATGTTTTCTGAACAATTCTTTTGTTATTGAAAAGAAAACGCATACATAAACAAATAAAGATGACATATTAAGCCAAGAAAATGAAAAAATTGAAATCATATGGTATCATAGCCCTACCTTGATATCATTGTACCATGGGTACAGGTATTTTAAAGCACTTTTAATCGACCAGTACGTGAACACTTATATCAGTCATGTCTGTGAATAATTATGCTTTGACAAATATGCAACGCGGACCGGGCCAGCTAGTCATCTATATATATAAATTACACATAAATTCAAAATGGCCGCCGCTACAAAATAGCGGATAATTTATGTTTTATTAATCCCATTAATCTGGGTATCAAATGAAAGGGCTCAACAAGCGGAATACAATATAATACTTTACAAAATGGCGGATAACGTAGGTTTTATCAGCCCCATGAATATGGGTATGAAATGAAAGTGCTCAACCTGTAGAATACAATAATAATAATTATAAAAAATATAAAAAATTAAAATCCAAGATGGCGGCCTTTACAAAATGGCGGATAATGTAGGTTGTATCAATTCCATCAACATGGGTATCAAATGAAAGGTCTCAATAATTGGAATACAATTTACTATTCCAAATCGAAATCTAAGATGGCCGCCTCTACCAAATGGCTGATAACTTAGGTTTTATCAATTCCATCAATATGAGTATCTAATAAAAGGGCTTGACAAAAAGAATGCAGTGGACTATACAGCCTCAATATTTAAGATGGGCGCAGCCACTAAATAACGTATAATAATAAGATTTAAATTTAGAAATTTCATTTGTAATTTAGGTAACTGCTTAATCCAGGTATCTGATTAATCCAGCATAGAGTAGACTTAAATCATACCATGGGACACATCAATTGTCTACAAATCATCGACTTAATGTGCGATGGAAGAATCGTTTAATTCGTCGTTAGGCAGGTGGGCCGCAGACGGTAAGGAAATTATTTAATATTTTCCTGCTCATGGAAATTCCAATAGTTATACACTCCGTGTAAATAAAACAGATGTTTCAACTAGTTTATCGTTGGACTCGTTTATCGTTCACACTGCTGGCTGGCGAGGAATCGTTTCACTGCTCGTAGTTTGTCTTTAATCGACAAAACATGTGATAAAAGTACTACTTGCTCACCACTGTGAAACCCTAAAACTCGCTTATAATGAAGCTTGCTAGCTTGTTTCCACATTCTAGCCCTACTTATCACACGTCCATCGTTGCCGATTGAACAACTTCCTAATTATGGTGTAACATTACAAAACCAACATTTTAATCAACGAGTGTAGACAATTGACGTTCTCACTGTTTTATTTTAGTCTAGTCTATGCATATGTTTATAATTCCCAACGACTGTATTTTTTTTTAGTTTTTAGTACATTTATCTTAAACATTGCAATGTATGTTTAACATAAAACCGTTTAATTTAAAAG